CCAGGTCACCAGATTTCCTCCCACAAATGTGCAATACCCACTAGTGGACTTTCTATCATCCATGGCTCCTGCCCAATCAACATCTGTAAAGACTTCCACCTTTAGGTGATTGTGTTTACTGAATAGTAGGCCTGTTCCTGGATGTTTCTTCAGGTATCTAAGGACTCTCTCTACTGCCACCATGTGTGGCTTCTTAAGAGAGTGCATAAATTGGTTCAGAACTCCAACTGAATAGGCAATATCTGGACGGGTCATGGATAGATAATCAGCTTTCCCACTAACCTTTGGAACTGCTTTACATCTTTCAGAGGTTCACCAATACAGTCACCTAGCTTGTGGTCCGCATCCATAGGAGTGTCTGCCGGCCTTGCACCTAATTTACCTGTATACCGTAATAGATCAAGGGTGTATTTCCTTTGAGAGACAAAGATACCCCTTTTTGAATGGGCAACTTTGATCCCAAGGAAATACTTTAGGAGTCCTAGATCTTTCACTTCAAATTTGGATGTAAGGAATTGTTTCAATTTCTGTATCTCTGAACTCCAACTCCCTGTAATGATGATATCGTCTACATACACTATCAATACAACAACCTGCTCTTGACATCTCTTCACAAAAAGTGTATGATCAGACTGGCACTGTTGGAACCCCATCTCTTGAACTGCCATGTGAAACTTACTGAACCAGGCTCTAGGAGACTATTTTAATCTGTAGATAGACTTCCGTAGCTTGCACACCTTGTTTTCACTTCCCTTGGCAGAGAATCCAGGAGGTTGAACCATGTATACCTCTTCTTCCAAGTCACCATTCAGGAAGGCATTCTTTATGTCTAATTGATGCAATTCCCAGTCAAAGTTAGCAGCTAAGGATAGGAGAATCCTAATCGAGTTCATCTTAGCCACTGGAGCAAAAGTCTCATCATAGTCAACTCCATATACTTGTGTGTACCCTTTGGCTACTAGTCTTGCTTTGTACCTTTCAACTGTTCCATCTGCCTTGTGCTTAACTGTGAACACCCATTTGCACCCCACGGGTTCTTTCCCCTCTGGAGGATCCACCAATTCCCAAGTCTGATTTTTGTGGAGGGCATCGATCTCATCCTTCATGGCATCTATCCATTCAGGATATTTTAAGGCTTCTGCAACATTCTTGGGAATAGGGATGCAGTCAACTGCCGATGGAAAGGCTCAGTACAAGGGAGAGATGTGGTCATAGGAAACAAAGTAGGTAATGGGGTGTTTGGTAGTGCAAGACCTGACTCCCTTTCGTTGAGCAATAGGGATGTCTAGGTCGTCCACAGTGRGAGTAGGGTTAGGGGTTGGACTTACCTCCTGGGATTCTGATGATGTCAGTTGCTCAGTGTTTGGCTGCTCCACATTTCTATCACATTGTTGATCTCTCCGACGAGTAC